TCTCTCTCTCTCTCTCTCTCTCTCTCTCTCTCTCTCTCTCTCTCTCTCTCTCTCTCTCTCTCTCTCTGCAGCGTCGAGTTAATTTTGCAAAATTCGGGACAGCCAACGATCGCGTTTCGGAGGGATTTTCAAAAATTAAAATTAATTAACTTCCTCGCTCATTTCTCAGGAAAAACGTCATTCGCTGCTCTCCACGCGGTTTCTCCGTATTCGATTATCCGACACCCTGTACATTAGACGCGGGTACCATAACAAAATGTAAATCTAGCCGTTTCGTGGCGCGGCCGGACTCGCCAACCGTGTCAATATGTAATTCCTCCGGATTATGAAACGAAAATTTACGAGCACAAGGCCGCCCTGTGCCATTATCATAAGCGAAGAAATTAACGTAATCCCAGTCACGACGGCCCTTTCAATTCCCTCAATAGCGACGGCGGCGGCGGCGGCGGCGGCGGTGTGGCGGCGGCCGATATATAAAACGTGTAATTCAAGATTTCCCATGGATCGGTTCGTGCCCGCGATCGGATCTGAATTGCGTCAATGCGCGCGTTGCATAATAATCTGTAAATATGGCATAACTCCGCGTATATCGCGCACACGCCCGTCGCGTTCGCGATCACGATATTTCTATTTCGCGGCGCTATCGCGATTTTATATCGCGACGTGATACGTTGACTCTTGGCCAACGATCTGCGATTTATCAAATTAGAATTATTCGGCCGTTTCGTCGGATACAAACGTCCGCAAACGTTAAATCGCGAAATCCTCTCCTGAGGATGAGGATAATAAAAAGCTTGGACGGTAAATTGGATAATAATTGGACAATATTGCGGGATGGAGAGACATATTTCGTGCCGTGCACGAAATCCATCTGAATTTAATTCTTCATAATAATTTTACATACACGGCGCACGCAAAATTGGAAATAGAACAATATCGCTTCAAAGTTCGAGATAGAAAATTTAAAATTGAACTTTTTACTAAAAAAAAATAGATTGTTATTAGTCTTCTTGTCATATATTTTGTGTAAATATACCATACCGAAAGGTGAAGATGACAAACACATGTAAGAAGCAGAGAGAGATCGAACGTTCGAATCATCGAACGTTTGCATCATAGACGATTGAGTGTTATCGTGCCAGCGTCCCGTCTTCGTCACCGTTTATCTAAATCATTCCGCTTCGGTCGATTCAATTGCGACAACATATATTTGCATATCGTAGAGCTCTGCTATTCGCAAAACGAAAGGCTTTACATATTACTAGGAGAAACTATGTTACACGTTGAATTAAATTGGAGAATTCACTCCTCGGAAGGTACGAA